TATTTTTATTGATTATTATTTTGAATTTATCACGTCTGGTTATACGAAGAAAATCGTGATATAATTTCAATCAGTGAGTCTTAGCCGCAAGCAACCTCGGCTTTATAAGTCAAAAGATTTATAACTTCAAGATTCTTTGCCGAGGCGCTACATATAATATGATGACTACGTTTAGCTTGATATAATTATATTCACTGAGCCGCAAGTGGTCTCGGCTTAATTATACTATTACTATCACTAGAACTAATACTAGATCTAGAACTAGAAACATTCGGGTTTAACCGTTCGTCTCTTAACCCTTTGCACTCGTATGTCGCCGTAGGAGCGGCACACCATGTTAAACGCGCCTGAAAATGATAGTTTGGATAGTGATAAAATTAGTGAAGAAAGTGACTCTAGTAGTGGTAGTGATATTATAGTTACTAAAAGACAGAGAACCATACCTTTACCATCAAGTTCAAGCAGCAGTGTAGAAGACGAGAATATAACACAACGTGGTAATTTTGGTCCATGGCAGGACGTCACATGCCACGATCAGGTACCAGACAGGATTCTATTTACTTCTGGGGATAAAATGGTAGGACCACAAATTCCAGATACTTGTACAAAACTCATAGATTTTTTCAAGCTCTTTTTTACCGATGAGCTAATAATAAAAATAGTGGAACAATAACAAATAACTACGCTAGACATAAAATAGCACAGAAGAGGTTGTCAAAACGTTCTACATGGCACACGTGGGTAGATTACAGTAGAAAAGTTTACCGCATTTATTGGGGTTGTCCTAAATATGGGTCTGATAACCGTATCTAATATCCATGAGTATTGGTCACAACAGTTTAATGCCAAAATACTTTTTTTTTAATAGTATATTTAGAAGAGAACGATTTTTACAAAGTTTTTGGATGCTCCACTTGCATGAAAACGATCCAAATGACCAAACTCTTAGGGCTCGAACTCAGAAAGTCAGTCACTATTTAGATTATTTGGACAAACAATTCAAAGAACATTTTGTTCCATCAAGAGAGATATCGGTAGACGAATCTGTTGTTGGATTAAAGGGTAAAATTAGTTTTTTAACTTACAACCCTAACGAGCCTACGAATGCTAGGTAGGCTACGAAGGCGGATGCTAACACCAGGTATGTTTATTCAATATTATTTTATTCATTTCCGATAGATACTATACGAGCTTGCCACTTGTAGAAGAGTTGTTAAAACTAAATGTTCATTTGACAAATAAACCGCAAATTTATACCTGATTCTATCAAAAAACCAACATTTGCCGAAGATAACACATTTGCATGCAGATCAGGTAATTTGATGTTATTGGCATGGAAAGATAAAAGGGTCGTCACCACACTTACTTCGTGGGATATTTCAGGAACACAGCCTATCAACAGAAGAGTACGTGGAGGTAACTTACAAGTTGTAAATAAGCCAATTATGGGAGGTGTCGACCGCGCAGACTCTTATTCAGCGTCATACTGTTTCCTGAGGAAGTCTTTGAAGTGGTGGCGAAAGTTATTTTTCTGGGGACTCGAAATGTCCAGTGTCAATGCATATTTATTATATAAAATTTCACAACGGGGCCAAAACAAAAAACCAATGACACATCTAAAGTTTGTTCGGGAAACTTTCGGCAGGGGTTCAAAACTTCTGGCAGACCATCATCTGTAGATACAAAACAGCGGCTAAATGGTAAATTACATATTTTACGCCAAAATGATGCGAAGAAAAAAAGACTGTGCGGTATGTTCTAACCGTAAAGTACAAGGCGGCAGGCGGGAAACTAGGTATATTTGTGACACTTGCACACGTAAGCCTGGACTACATATTGGTGACTGCTTCGAACGGTACCATACACTACAACATTATAAAACGTAATTTTTTTTAAATTGTGTATAAATTTATTTAATGATAATGGTAGTGATTATGATAATGTTAGGTTTTATTTGTGTTTCTCTATCCTCAAGATTTATTATTTTTATAAGCCATTATTTTTTATTTAGTTATTTTTCATGATATAATTGTAATATATTATTGTGTTTAATTTGAATAAACATCTGCATAAAAAAATATTTTTTAAAAAACATCCCACAGTTTTAAACATTAAGCGATTTTTTTTTTAAATTTTGCCAAATTTTTATTTTGTTTTTACACTAAGTGTATTTACTAAGCAATATTAGCGCATTTAAAAAAAATCCCATATAAAAAAATATATATATAAAAATTCCGAGTAGACAGATAAGTAGATAAAATAATAGTCCGAGTACAGTGTACTCACAAAAGGACATATATATGAGTGCAAAGGGTTAAGACGGTTAAACACGAGTGTTTCTAGTTCTAGGTCTAGTGTTAGTTCTAGTTTTGCACTATCACTAAAACTAACACAAGACCTAGAACTAGAATCATTCGGGTTTAGCCGTCTTGAGAGACGTGCGGCTAAACCCGAATGTTTCTAGTTCTCGGTTTGGTGTTAGTTCTAGTTTTACACTAGCACTATTACTAGAACTAACACAAGACCTAGAACTAGAATCATTCGGGTTTAGCCATCTTGAGAGACGTGTGGCTAAATCCGAATGTTTCTAGTTCTAGGTCCAGTCTTAGTTCTAATTTTCCACTAGCACTATTACTAGAACTAACACAAGACGTCTCTCATGACGGTTCTTATTTTTTTTTTTTTAGTGTTACTTTTAGTATTTTTCTTTTGTGTTAGTTCTAATGACAGTGCTACGTAGCGCTAGTTAGTACTAGACATAACTATATTGCGATTTTTATTAAACTAAACCTCGAACTAAAAGGTATTTAAGAAGTTTAAAGACGCACGGCAAAACCAGAATGTTTCTAATTCTAGGTTTTTCTAGTTCTAGTTTCTAGGTTTCTTATAATTCTATATTATTTTCACTCTCTTCCCTCTTCCTCCATTTCCACACCCTCGGCTCCTCGGCCCAATCATCCCCTCATCCATTCCTTTGTCTCCTCACCCCCACAACCATTCTCATCCATCGTTTCCCCTCTCCCCCCTCTCCTAAGATCTGCCCTCGGTCCAACTCCTCCTCCCTCAACTCACTGCACCCATTCAACATATGTTCCAACGTTTCCCATTCCTCCCTGCATAGCCTGCACCACCTCTCCTCATCGGCCATCCAGTATCTGTTAGCTCTCTCCTCGTTTCCACAACGGAACCTAGCCACCAACTTCTTCCCTTCCTCATCTCCTTCCAATAACAAGTATCTAGGCAGCCCCTCCGNACAAGACCTAGAACTAGAATCATTCGGGTTTAGCCGTCTTGAGAGACGTGCGGCTAAACCCGAATGTTTCTAGTTCTCGGTTTGGTGTTAGTTCTAGTTTTACACTAGCACTATTACTAGAACTAACACAAGACCTAGAACTAGAATCATTCGGGTTTAGCCATCTTGAGAGACGTGTGGCTAAATCCGAATGTTTCTAGTTCTAGGTCCAGTCTTAGTTCTAATTTTCCACTAGCACTATTACTAGAACTAACACAAGACGTCTCTCATGACGGTTCTTTTTATTTTTTTTTTAGTGTTACTTTTAGTATTTTTCTTTTGTGTTAGTTCTAGTGACAGTGCTAGGTAGCGCTAGTTAGTACTAGACATAACTATATTGCGATTTTTATTAAACTAAACCTCGAACTAAAAGGTATCTAAGAAGTTTAAAGACTCACGGCAAAACCAGAATGTTTCTAGTTCTAGGTTTTTCTAGTTCTAGTTTCTAGGTTTCTTATAATTCTATATTATTTTCACCCTCTACCCTCTTCCTCCATTTCCACACCCTCGGCTCCTCGGCCCAATCATCCCCTCATCCATCCCTTTGTCTCCTCACCCCCACCACCATTCTCATCCATCGTTTTCCCTCTCCCCTCTCTCCTAAGATCTGCCCTCGGTCCAACTCCTCCTCCCTCAACTCACTGCACCCATTCAACATATGTTCCAACGTTTCCCATTCCTCCCTGCATAGCCTGCACCACCTCTCCTCATCGGCCATCCAGTATCTGTTAGCTCTCTCCTCCTTTCCACAACGAAACTTAGCCACCAACTTCTTCCCTTCCTCATCTCCTTTCAATGACAAGTATCTAGGCAACCCCTCCGTTATTATGTCCCTGTACCTTTCGTTACACTTTCCCTCTTTTATTTGTGTCCTTCTTTCTTGTCTCTTCACATCTCGGTCCCTATCTCTCAACTCCCTCCACATCTCCTACTATTTATCTCAGTTACCGAGTAGCCCGCTCGTCTATAATAGTTGTTTCTGTCTCCTTTCCCATATCTGATCTTTCCCTCTCTAATTCCCCTCCAACACTCTCCCAAGATCCCGCAGTTTGGCCTCCCTTCTATTCTTTCTTCATATTTCACTGACCTCCTGCCCGCTTCCACTCTGACCTTATCCACCTTTACCTCTTCCCTCACTATATACCCCGGTGTTTCTCTCGCCACCCCAAGCACCCATCTCCAATATCTAGCTTGCACGTCGTCCAGTATTCCCTGCTCTCTCCATCTCCATACCTCTGCCCCATACATCATCACACTGCTAACCAGACCTTCAAACATAATCTTCCTCGCTGCCACATTCCTTTCCAAGACTCTCTTCCCCCAACCCCATACTTGTCCCATCACCTTATTCGCCTTTTTGCCATAGCTATCACATGCGACCCCTATTAAACTAAACTTACCACATTCTGTCTTTTCCACATTCCTCCCTTACTCACTTGCCTCCCGCACTACCTGTATAAGTTCTTCCAAACCACTGATTTCTTGTATCCTCTGTTGCCAAGTGTCGAGGTTTCCCCTGTAGAATACTACCCCTTCTTCCGACCAGTCTGTCCTGATGAACTTGCTCCCCAGTTCCGCTCGCCTTCTGCCGCCCACCCCCTTTACCTCCACCTCCAACGGTTGGTGATCCGACTCTACCGCTTCTCCCACTTTAAACCTTTCCACCCTCTCCCATATTTCCTGATCCACCAGTACATAATCAATCACTAAGATCATACTTCACAGGATCATTTCTGTAGTATATCTTCACATACTCTAGCACTATCACTAGAACTAACACAAAACCTAGAACTAGAATCATTCGGGTTTAGCCATCTTGAGAGGCGAATGGCTAAACCCGAATGTTTCTAGTTCTAGGTCTAGTGTTAGTTCTAGGTTTACACTAGCACTATCACTAGAACTAACACAAAACCTAGAACTAGAATCATTCGGGTTTAGCCATCTTGAGAGGCGAATGGCTAAACCCGAATGTTTCTAGTTCTAGGTCTAGTGTTAGTTCTAGGTTTACACTAGCACTATCACTAGAACTAACACAAAACCTAGAACTAGAATCATTCGGGTTTAGCCGTCTTGAGAGACGTGCGGCTAAATCCGAATGTTTCTAGTTCTAGGTCTAGTGTTAGTTCTAGTTTTACACTAGCACCATTACTAGAACTAATACAAGACCTAGAACTAGAATCATTCGGGTTTAACCGTCTTAAGAGACGAACGGTTAAACCCGAATGTTTCTAGTTCTAGATCTAGTATTAGTTCTGGTGACAGTGCTAGTGTTAGTTCTAGTTTTAGTTTAATTAATTAATTAATTAATTAATTTATTTATATTAATTCTTTTTTTCTTTTTGAATTACAGGATGAAAATCCTTTAAGGACTTTATGTTATCCTGGAGCAGACGTGATAATTTTATGTTTTTCAATCGTAAATCCAACGTCGTTCCATTCGATCCACACTAGATGGTTACAAGAAGTGCAAGCGCTGAAAGTGCCGGTAGTACTTGTTGGAACACAATCGGATCTCTTATCAAATCAGGAAGTGATCAGAAGACTGCGACAGAACGGCGAAACCGCCGTGTCTCCAACCCACGCAAGAAGATTGGCGGCAAAATTAAACGCGCCGTACGTCGAAACGTCCGCGAGAACGTGTTCGCATCTAAAAGAAGCCTTTGACGTTGCTATCACATTGGGTTTGAAAAGACAACTCAAAATGAAAAGGCCAAAATGGAAAAAATATGTTTGTTGCTTTTAAAATATTTTTCAAAAAATATTCGGCTGCACATTCCGAGAGACTCGAGATAATATTTTAAATGAAATTATTTTCACTCCAACTGTACATTTTTTGTGTTATATTTTTTTTATTAGAGATTTTTATCCGGTCCTTGAAATAGCGTAACCCTTAAAAGATTGCTGTGAATTTATTATTATTATTTACTATTAATAGTTTAGTATAGTTTTTTTTCCTTCATGACAACTTTTTACCGCTCGTATATTTTTTTGTATATTGTAATTTGAGAAATCCCTCTTCCATATTTGTGATAAAAATTACGTATACACATTGATTATTATTAATGTTAGTGATCGGCCTATTTAGCTGAAACATACTCAGAAAGAATTAATCTATGAGGAAGCCTTTTTTTATATCATGTAATACGAATCGTTCTGAAAAAAAAAATCACGTAATGGATGGACTTAAAAATGAAAAACTTTGTAAAAACTGATTGTTCCCATTATGTCACATCCTTTTTTTTCTAATTTAGTGTTTGTTAACTATTTAATTTATTACCGCGATATATTATCGTGCGTTACGAGAGACACTTGTTGATAATCCATATCGTCGTCTGTCTTTTAGTTTAACGCTGTGTATATGTTTACTATATATGTATTATTTTGCAATAAATAATTTATTTTATCTGCTTCGTATATTTGTTTATCTTGAACCATTCAATTTGAACCTCATTCATTAAATTGTTTTTTTTTTGTCTTTAGAAATCTTTGACCGATTTACTTCAATCACTAAGCTATTTATTATATTATTATGTGTGGTGATAACCCAGTCTTAGATTTATAAAAGTTTATCATTGTTTTATGCAAATAATTGAAATATTTATATACAGGGTGGTTCTCAATCTATATGTATAAACTTGGGGATTTATTCCTCATAACTAATAGGAATCCACAATCTTCCACTAGTGCTGGCGGATTATCTCCGCAGTTAGCTATTCGATTTTGCAATATTTACTCAATATTAACTTTCGTGGCGTACACTTTGCTTTTTAAGTGACCTGAAACATAAAAATCAAGAGGATTAAGGTCGCGCGATCACGGTGGTCAGCCCATTGTAGTTCCATCTTCCAGGAAACATTATCTAGATGTCGCCGATTATATCAGATATCCAGGAAACTAAAAAACTCCAAAACAAAGTGTTCCAAGCAAGGCATAAAAGATGCTTCCTGAAATTACAAGATTGCAAATCATGACTAATGGAATAATGAAATGGACAGGATGTTTTTGGGATGCTAAAATCATAAAATCCAACAAAAATTCGTTATTGCAATGGAGTCTTCTGAGGTTGGTACTTTTGTTGAATATTTGTTAAGTATTATTACAATACGTTATCCTAGAGATGTCGCTACTTGTTCGTCCGAAAGCTACAGATTTAAATATTTCTTTATGTTGGTAGCACGAAGGGAACGCTTCACTTTTGTTCTTTGTTCGGTTAATAATAGTTCGTAATAGTTTGTAGTTAAGTAGTTTAGTGTTATTTTTCCAATATATTTTCTATCAACCTCGTTGTTTTAATAAAAACATTACCGCAACTCAACAAGTTATGGGCCCAGAGTGCGCGAAACCGAAATAAATAAGGTAACACGAAATAACGTAGAAATTAAAAAAAAA